AACGAGACAGAGTCATGAACATACTAAAATAACGTTAACATTTGCAAATCTCAATTCACTCAATCAAAGAAACATCATTCATGCGAACAGATTAAATACGAAAGAAACTTTATCAAAAGAACCAAATCAATTTGCTTCTGCTTCAATAAAGATGCTCCGATATTTTTTAACTCAAGAGCTTGAATTACATACCTACAAGAGAGTGAATTCAAATGAATAAAATCTGAAAGTTGTAGAGTCAATACAGCAGCAACAACAAAATCTCTATCAACTCTTCTTCAAACCCAAGATTCAAGGCCCGAAATATTAAAAGAAAAATTTAATGAAAATTTTCAACCTAAATTTCTCTCCTCCCCCTCTCTTCTTTTTTTTTTCTTTTTCTCTTCTCAAATTTTTTCTTCTATTTATAGCAAAATTTTTGAGATTTTTCAGATTTTTTTTAAAAAATATTTTATTATTTTTTAATTAAAAGAAATCCCACTTACAAATTGCTTTTTTTTTTATAAAAAGAAATCCCACCTTTCTTTACTTTTATTTTTAAATTCCAACTTTAATTACTTTTATCTTATTTAAAATCCCACTTTTTTTACTTTTTAAAAGAGAATTCCACTTATTTAACTTTTCTTAAAAAAACAATCCACTTTCTTTTGCTTTTCTTTCAAAAATGCTACTTTCTTTTACTTTAATTTTTAGATACCTTTATATTTGTTTTTTAATTCCAACTTTCTTTTACTTTTTATTTTTTTAAAATTTCCACAAAATTTTACTTTTATTTTTTAATTTTCTACTTTCTTTTACTTTTTAAAAGAGAATTCCACCTACTTTTACTTTTATTTTTTTTTATTCAATACTTCCCTTTTTCTTATTTTTTAAATCACTCCTGAAAATTAAAAAAAAAATTAATATTTTTTCGAATTTTTTTATTATTTTAAAATAAAAATAAAATAATAGTAATAGTAATAATTCACCTTTTAAATTTTGTATTTTTACTCTATAATAAAAAGTGTAACAAAGCTAAAAATTGTAGGTTAAACCTCTAAAATATTTACATAGAAGAAGTGATAAAAAATTAAATATTATCAAAAATTAGGTGCTCACACCTTGTTCGCGTACCTGTGAGAATGCTCGTGTTTCTGCTTTGAGACAAAAAGAGAAATATGATAAGTTAAATCCAAACGAAATTGTCTATTACCTTGGCCTGGTAAGTCGATGAAGGGGGAAAGGCGCTGTGGGGTCACTCGCTTTGCCCCATGCTCGAATGACGGTTTCAGATTTGGCAGCCGTGTTTGGCTTCATCGTTAGTCGCGTCTAGGCTTCTTGTGGGTTGGACTTACTTTGCCCGTTGTGATATCGAGACAGAGTCTCAATTCGATCTCGTCCGATATGCGCAAATAATAAGGGAAACAAGTCATACTTTGTTCATAAATCACATAGTGTGTGTGTGATACGAAAATAAGGCAGGATACGCCCTATATTTCAAAGAATCATGCAGTAGGCTATCGTCCCTCCCTAAGAGGTGGGAGTACAGGCCGGTATATAAGGTAAATACGTCAAATAGGATTGCGGTCATGCTAAATGTGTAGTGACCGTGATCCTACTTTAAACATGCATATGACGTGCCAAACCCATCGCTACAGATGAGGCGCGGGTTTTGCATAGACATCGGACATAATTTCAATTTCATGTAGAGATCTTACCCAGATTGGTTTGGTTATCTCAAAAACTTATCTATCACTTTTTCGAGTTGGTGTTTATGCCGAGATGGTGAGGCTATGACAACCTGAAAATGATACTTGGTTGGTTTTAGATCTAAAGAAAACTAAAAATTTGGCTAAGAAATCCCCACAGATGGCGGCAAATTGTTCGACCAAAAAACATCAGGCTTTTTGTTAAACTAATTAATGATGAAAATAGAGGGTAAATCTTAGCCAAGAATAATTAACTCTAAATCTAAGCACATTGAATACGATAATTGAGTGTAATCGAACTTATAACTCTTTTTGAGATTATTAAAAGACATCAAACATAAACGATAAGCTTACATCTTTGACGTATTGTTCTGTAATGTAAGGGCAAAGAAGGAAAAGAAGGAATGCCATTAATAGCTTCGAGATCTATCTTTATTGATTCAACAATGATGATTACAAGGATTTGCAACCATGATCTAAACTTCCGCTNCCCCCCCACCCCCTCTTCTTCTTATCTCCTATATATATTATAAATATTCTCTTTTGTCCAACGGTCTTTAGTCAGAGTAGTCTATCTCTTGATTATACTTTTCATCGCTTTCCTTAAGCATTACGATACTTATTTTGCCATACAAGTTTTCTGATAGCTCGATCTCGACAGTGGCCAAGATACTAATCATTATTACGCCTTGTGACTACGATCACGACTTAGTCGACCCCCTGTCATTCCTTTTAGCGCTAATCCACGCGTTGTCAGATTTTGACCCATACAACAACAACAATAATAATAATAATAATAAATTTATGTGAAAACACAAAAAGTTGTCAATATAAAATTAAGTTTGTCTATCCTCAAACCAAACTACCCTTTATTACAGTAGAAGACAAAAACAAAAAAGTAGTCTTTTTATAGAAAAGAAGTTGTGTCTTTCTGCGCCAATCAAGAAGGATTGAGAGGTTAATGTTTTATGTGAGAAGTAGAGGCTGTGGATATAACTGAAAAATGTGGAGGGATTGGAAAGGTGGGGTCGTCGTCTTATCACAATTGTAAGAATGAGAGGAACAGAAAGCATAGTTGGATCAGTAGAAAAAGAAACAGACAGGCCTTTTCTTTTTTTTATCGTCTGCCAAAGTCCTGAAGAAGGCACCACCTAATTACAACAATGGCTAGTTTGGTTGCAGTTCAGCACAAACAACCTTCTTTTGCTGTCCTCCCTTCTTCCCATTCTGACTTCAATGGTGCCAAATTGATCTCCTCTCTTCAGGTACTAATACCCACTAATTACCCATTTTGAGTTCAGTCGCTAGCTGTTTCAGGCATGCTTTTAATAGCATAAAAACCCTAACTTTATCTGCTATGGTTTCGAGAAGATTATAAAAATGTTCTCCCCTTTGTTTTAATATGTGTCGTAGTTTGATTGCACATGTAATTTAAGAAAGAAAAAAAAACTTTCACCATTTGTCGTTTTAAACAATGCCATAACATTTGTATTGCTATAAGAAGTAGTGGAGTCAAAATTCTCACTAAGGGATATCAAAATATAATAAAGTAAACACATGAAAAAATCAAGGGGAGTAAACATATAGTAATATATACATACAAAAAAAATTTACCGAGCTACACAGTGTAAGTTTAAGGTGGCTCCGCCACTGGCAATAGGTATTTTGAAACTTGTAGTCTTAAATATGCTACTATAATATGTACGTGGCTATAACAACTTTTCAATAATGCTAAAATCAGTAGTGTAAATTAAATTGTTTCCAAATTCAGAGAGTTGCCGTTCTTTTTGGAAGGGATGAAAAAGGAACTGCTGCTGCATGAACTGAAGGGGGGGGGGAGTATTTTTTACTGGACATTAGGCTATAATTACAGTCAAACCTCTCTATAACAACCTCGTTTGTTCCGAATATTTTTGGATGTTATAGCGAAGTGCTATTATAGAGAACATATATTATAACATAACATGAAAATTGGTTCTGGAAAAGCTTGGTTTTTATAGTGAAGTGTTGTTATATAGGGATGTTGTTATAGAGAGGTCTGACTGTAATTAATTATATGTATACAGTGTGACAATGTTTTTGCTTGCCTCTTTAAGGTGATCTTTGGTTTTAGCAAGATAAGAAGACTGAGTATTAATTACTGACAATATTGACAATGGATACTTGTTCATATTCTACATATATCAAGAAAGTAGAAACTGCTGCTTTGCTTTGCTGCATTATGAGTTGACATTTTTTTCTGCTTTACTAATTATATATGGTTNTTTGCTTTTTTTTTTTTTTTTGCTGCATTATGAGTTGACAATTTTTTCTGGTTTACTAATTTTATATGGTCGTAGTTTAAGAGGAAACCATGCCAGCCAAAAGGAGCACTGCATGTTACAGCATCAAGTGCCAAGAAAATCCTTATAATGGGAGGCACTCGATTTATTGGTGTCTTTCTATCCAGACTTCTTGTAAAAGAAGGCCACCAGGTAATCAGCCGAGCCTAAAGTCTGTTTAAAGTTGAAATCATTTTCTGAGTTCTACATTGTCATCCAAATTGCTACGGAGCGAAGATTACAACCTTTGGTGTATGAAGTCCCCTTGAAAATTTACAACCTTCCAATGATTCATAAATACAGGTTACTCTGTTCACAAGAGGAAAAGCTCCGATCTCTCAACAATTACCAGGTGAATCAGACCAGGATTATGCTGATTTTTCCTCCAAGGTATGTAGGATATTGAATGAGCTTAAAGCTCTGTGGTTTTCTCTTTCCTATTTTACCTTGTGTATTTCTTGACTTGATTTCATAATTTGTGTTACTCTAAGTAACAAGACTTTTTGTTCCGGCTGCAGTTATTGCACTTGAAGGGTGACAGAATGGATTTCGATTTTGTGAAGAGCAGTCTTTCTGCAGAGGGCTTTGATGTTGTGTATGACATAAATGGTATTATGGTTGTTTTATTCTATATCTCAATGCGTTCCCTATTTTCTTGTCGTTGCAAACAATTCCTTTTAGTAGGAGGTTTTATTTTTTAGCCTCTTGTTCATGAATTGTTCTTTGTTATTCAGGACGTGAAGCAGTAGAAGTGGAACCAATATTGGATGCATTACCTAATCTAGAACAGTAAGCTATGGATCTTCTTAAATAATACATATCATGAACTATTTGGCTTGAGGATGGATTTCTGCAGTGATTCCAATACCAGGAAAAAACACCATGCTATTTGATTTATGATTCCATTTTTAAGGAGGATGATATGACGTGTAGGACTTTATCTTCTGAATTTAGCATTGTCAAGAATATCGAAACATGAAAATTTTAAAAAGGACAACAGACACCAAAACTACGCAGACAATGAGATATCAATCTTCCTTTCTAGAAATGCTGGTGAACATGATACAGTTAAATGGTTTTGCTTGCGAAAGAACTTAAAATTGTAGGATGGAACTGAAGCTACAGAATCTCCTCCATCAAGATACAAAAGGTATAAATCAATGTGAGATCAAGATTGGCAATGGTGCACTTCATTTTTGCAAAGTCAAACAGATATAAAAGATACTTCGCGACAGTTGTCAATCAGTTTTTCTGCAGATATATTCATTACTGTTATACCATTAGCTTGAGAAATTTTCCTAAATTTTCTCATGAATTGCTGGAATTCATATGGCATAATCGCTCTTGACTCAGTAAACGTTATTTGAATGACCACATTGTGATGTTTAATTTTATCTGATCATCTTAATTTCGCGATAAATCTCAGGTACATATACTGCTCTTCAGCTGGTGTATACCTCAAAACTGATTATTTACCACATTTTGAGGTCAGTATAGTAGCATATAATTATATTTTGGTAGGAAAACTTCCATGTGTCGTCAGCAAATGGCTGCCATTTTGCTTAGTAGACACACTTAAAAACAACTTTTGCTCAAACAAGGAGGAGTTTTTCTCAGGAGATTATTGTCAATATTTCATTCCTAGGTTCCAACTTAAAGATAATGTTCAACTGGACGCACTTACATGTTTCTTACTATTGAACTGTTCTCATAGCAGAGATATTAGACAACATGATTTATTCCTCTCAGATATATAACAGATAGCAGTTTAACTGCTCTGTCCTATTTGCACCTTGGTTCTATCTCCTTTCAATTTCTTTTTTTGTCAAGACGCTTTTTCCTTTCTATTGTTTTTCGCTTTTCTAGGCTAACGAAAACTTCTTGCCCCGTGTCAACAGGCTGACGCAGTTGACCCAAAGAGCAGGCATAAAGGAAAGCTTGAGACAGAGAGCTTGTTAGAATCACGAGATGTTAATTGGACTTCTGTAAGGCCTGTTTATATTTATGGGCCACTTAACTATAATCCAGTTGAAGAGTGGTTCTTCCACCGATTGAAAGCTGGTCGCCCAATTCCAATTCCTAACTCAGGGCTGCAAATAACTCAACTTGGACATGTGAAGGTTAGTCAGCACATATTGAAAGAGTAGTTCACATTCTGTAAATTTGAAATTATGTCACCTTTTCTAGTGTAAGCTTTGAACAATGCTATCACTTTAGAAGTTCCACGAGGGGCCTGTTTGCTTAGGTCCTTTAAGTCTTCAATATTCAAAAGTGGCCTCCATTTAGTAGAAACCAGGAAATGTCTTTTCAAAGAGTAGGATCGACATACTCTTGGTTCAGTTTTAGGCAATACTGGCACTTGAGTTAAACCGCATATAAAATGAGCTTACTAATGGAGCCTTGCTGCAAAATCGTCTCAAATAAGGATGACGACCATTTCTACAAGATAAAAAGTTTTGCTTTTGGTTGGATATTGGCAGGATCTTGCAACGGCTTTTATTCAGGTTCTTGGAAATGAGAAAGCAAGCAAGCAAGTATTTAACATATCTGGAGAGAAATATGTCACGTTCGATGGATTGGCTAAGGCTTGCGCCAAGGTAACTTTTTGTCGGTAATAACTTATATTATTTCGAGTATCTCTGATGCTCTCTAATATATAGTATTTTGGGTTGAGGGAGTCACTGAATTATTCAATTCGAAAGGGGTTTAGTGGTTTAAAGAGTTCCAACGAAATAAATAGTGAAATAAAAGTCCCATTCTGCTGATAACAATTGACTGTCCATTTTCTTTATCCAGGCTGGCGGCTTCCCTGAACCCGAGATTGTTCACTACAACCCTAAGGAGTTTGACTTTGGCAAGAAGAAAGCGTTCCCATTCCGTGACCAGGTAAATATTAGTGAGCTGATTTCAGATTTTACCATTCATATTGAGGTCTGAGTCATCCATTTTCCAAAAATCAAGTTGATAATAATGATAATACGACCATACTAAATGAGTCACCAGTAAATGTTTCCATAAAGGTTATCCTAAAAGTTGCCAAGAACTATTTGTCTAATTATTGTCGTTGTATCTGCATTTTATCTTAATATGAAATATTTTAGGTTGGATATTGCTTTGTGGTTAGCAAAATTCTATCAAGGTTTAGTCCCTTGTGGATTAAGTATACCTTCTTAAAATAAGAATTATCAGCTAAAACCTCTGTTTTTGACATGATTTTATGTAAATATTTGCAAAAGAAACACTTGTTCCTTAGTTGAAGTTGTAGTTGTCTGTTTGATATCATATCTGGCATCTGGTCCAACATTAGTCTATGTATGTCTTTTCATAGGTGTTAATGTTGTTGAAATTTTAAATATGAATGCAGCATTTCTTTGCATCGGTCGAAAAGGCAAAGGCTGTGCTAGGTTGGAAGCCGGAATTCGACCTGGTGGAAGGTTTGACAGACTCTTACAACCTAGATTTTGGTAGAGGAACTTACAGGAAAGAAGCTGATTTCTCTACAGATGATCTCATTCTTGGAAAGAGTCTAGTTTTGAACTAGGACTGCTTTTCCACCAACAAGTTCACAAGTTTTTAGTGGCCAAATTCACTTGAAACTATCTGAGAATTTCCTTGTATATTAACTTCACTGAGATGAAATGAATAAGAAAGTATTCTCATTTTGCCTTCAATATTTTGCTGGGACCGGGATTTTTACACGAATAGCTGGCCAGATTCATCATTTATTTTTCCAGTTATACGTATGAATTATACATCAATCGGCTATTTTTAGTTTAAGCGGTTGAATGTGTGGTTATTTAGGTTAATTCTTCTTGTATAAATCATTGTAAATTGTAATGGGGAGGTGTTTGTTGAACTGTAAACTTAAGTACTTCCAAGAAAATGTAACACTTAGAACCCAAAAGAAAAAAGGGTGGCATTCTTAAAATTATGTGGACATGGGGTATATAAAATCATAATTTAAATTGTATGAATTTTTTAATCATGGTTTTTAGTTGGTGAAATCACTTAAAATACGTTACATTCAATAAGATTTTAACGGACACTATATTTCTTTATATCGATTATTAACGAGGTCTTTAATGCATCTTTCATAGATTTATTTGATGAGTAATTATATTAGCTATCTTCCTTTTATACCCTTAAAGGTTGTTTGGTTCACATGCTAGTTATGCGCGAATTATAATGCAAAGATTGTTTACGCGACGATTAATAATGAAGAGATTGTAATGCAATAATTATTAATGATATGATTAGTTATTATGTGGTTACTAATAAAGGAATTGCTATATATGAATTACTTATTTTAAGGCCATTTTAATCTTTAAATACTAATTCATGTGTTGCTATTGTATATATTCTTATTTCACATTCTATTTCACATAAAATAATACATTAGTTTAGGCATAATATCATGCAAGTATTATTTAAAAATATCATCAGAAATTCCAATGAAGTGTTATCTCATAAATATAATGACGATTTTGACATAGTTTTAGTGGATGAATGAATTGGATTTATATTTCAAATGAAAAAATAAGCATAAAAACAATAACAAAAGTCAAGCTCAGAAAAATCTAATTTATGTTAGTTTAATCGATGTATATATTAAGCAAACTAATAGTAGTATAATTAATTAGGTCCTTAACTAAGTGAAAATCCATCCAAGCTAAATTAGCGGTGGCAACATGAATTAAAAAATAATTGTCCACTAAAAAATTAGTTGGATAATGGATGATCAAATAAGGATAAAATTCATATTATCCACTTAAAAGATAGATAATATAATTAATGGGTTTAATGTTAATATTTGCAATGACTCAAATTGGAGGTTCCTCATATCAAATTCTCCCAAAAAAGATATTCACATTATCCGCCGATTAACTCATTTTTTATTTGTATCAATTATGAGTCGATTTAGATATTTTATCCGTATTTACATTATCCATTTTTGGCATGCTTATATCCTTGCCACCCAAAGCTAAATCAACGAACACTGCAACTTGTTAAAAGTACTTGTACTTATGTCGACGAAAAGGAAAAAAAATGAAATCAATAAAATGGCCTGGCATGCAGCACTTTAATCATCTTTATTTGTTTTATGTTTAAAAAGAGAAAGTTATCTGGAAAAATGGGCGTCTAAAAAACAAAGTCAAAAGGAGACGACGATAAGAGGTTGTAGGGAGGAAAAAAACAAGACGTTAGGGAGTGAAATGGTGCCAGTTAAAAAGCCGGTTAAAACGCGTAATAAGTTAGGTATATACTAACACCTAACGGCTAGCAAAGAGCAAAAGCAAAAGCACAAGTTAGGTAGTTGGCTTACATTTTGTTTGTTGATATTTTCAAATAGAGTCGTTAACAGCCGTTTCCATCTAATGCATTATTTCAAGGAATTTTAGGTCGAATTTACTATTTGCTTTTTTTTGTCACTGTACATTATATAATGATATATATTATATAAATTATACGTATATTATATATTCGTTGCTATTTTTAGTTTAAGTAGATGAGAGTGCAGCTACTTGAGTTAATTCTTCTTATTTTTTAGAGTAGGAATTGGCTAAAATTATCATGGCCTATTTAAAATTGAGACATTTTAGCCCAGTTCTAAGTAGTCCACAATTTTAGTAAGACGTTCTATTTTATGGGGTTCCTATCATATATCGAAATCGAAAATTTTGGTATTTGGTATACGGTATTTTGGTATTTGGTATGGTATTTGGGTTAAGTTTTAAAAAAAATGGTATTAGATATGGTATTTGATATTTTAAGATAAAATGCCGAAATACCAATACCGTACCGAAATATATATTATATTACACAAAACACATATTATCAATTATAACATAAATAATAAAAATCTAAAATTTTACTTTCTTTTATTCTCAAAGTTCATCAATTAACTCTAAACAAGTAACAAGACATTTCTAACGATAAAATATTCTTTTATGTACAGTTTTCTCTATTTGGGTCGATATTTGCTAGTTTTGGACAAAATTTTTGTCAACAAACATTTGTAGTTTTATATTTTTGAGTACTTTCATTAAGAATATTAGAGTGTATGACTCTATGTATTAGTTAGTATTCAAACCGAAGTTACCGAACCGAATAAACCAAAACCGAAAGGAGAAAAGCCGAACCATACCGAATTTAATTAGGTACGGTATTGGTATAGGATTTTAAGAAACCGCATACCAAAAATACCGAACCGAAGTATCTAAATATTGTACCATACCGATCGACGAACACCCCTAATGAGATAAGTAGGAGTAAAAAGCTCAATTTCGTAGATTCAAAGTTGTAAATCATTCGAATAATTATATCTTGGCAAGTGAATAGATTTATTAAATTAAGCCACGACATATTTTTTATATTATCATTTTTTAATCTAAATTGTTGGTTGTTATACGAGATGTGGATAAATATATTTTGTAATTTTACTCGCTCAGAGTATTAATTAAGAAAACTAGGAGTATACCCCTACCTAAAAGTAGCAGTACGTTCATCATCAAATTTCCAGTTGGATACCATTAAATAAAAAGCTTTTAGGTAAACGAAATCACCCAATAATTACAACGCGTTTTTTTTTGAGAATCCCACCCGTTTATTATTAATTATTATTAATTAGTAATAGAATAATAACCACTCCCCATCCGCATCTAAAATCTAACGCGCAATTGACAGATCCAATTTATTCAAGACCAGCTCTAATATCCTCCACCATATAAAATTTCCCACATAATGTAATTCAATTCTAAAAACAAATTTTCTCTTTTATATTTACATAAAATTGAACAATATGAGTGCTAAGCCATAACTCAGGTGCGTGTGAACCATCACACTGTCTAATTTGTGACCAAGTACATCATTGAAGTAGTGTAGTGTTGAAACTGTGCTATATTTTTTTGATAATCGTGATATTCAAATCAGCTTGCGTGCACCTTAATTAATTCTGAAATACTTCGTGATAATATGCTAGAATTACATGTAATTAGATATGTTTTACCCCTACTTTGATGTATTTTTAGGTATTTTGAATGTTGAAAGATGACCAGTCAAGCTTAATTGTTGAAGTTTGTTATGTAGGAAGCCAAGAGTGAATAATAGAGGTGATTTGCGCAATAATGAAGCTAAAAGGCAATTTTTGAAGAAAAAGAAAATCGGACCAGGCAGTGAAGGAACTTCGGAAAGCACAGAAAAATCTAGAAAACACAACCAGGCCCTGTGCGAAGCACAACTATAGCACAAAGGCAAATTTGCCTGCGTTTTATCTTGAGGGGCAACTCAGTCAATTGGCTTAGGGACGTGATATAAAAGTTTTCAACCCTTATTTCAGCCACACGCTTGATCTCAGAAGGCAAGAAACACCATTGTTAAAGCAAAGTTGAGTCCGAAAGATCCTCAAGTTCATTCATGAAGACAAATCGAAGAGTTTCTCTTTACTTTTCTATCATTATTTTATGAATATTGGTTTGACAATTGATCACGCCCAACTATGCCTTATAAAAAGGACAAAGCGGTCATTGCAAATATAATCTGGTTTACAAGTTCGGAGTCGAATCCCACAGAGAACTAAGGCTTAGCTACAATTGTTCAATATTGCTAAGAAGACAAGCTTGAACAATTCCTAAGTTATAAATATTAAGATTCTTATATCTAATTAACTAAATAATTAAATTAGTAGATTAACAACTAAAGATACTACGGGTTGAAGAAACGATTAAGGAGGTCTAGAGTTATGATTTCCCCAATTGTCGGAATCTTTCCCGCTATGTTTTCTATAATTTCGCCTAAGTATTCTCTACCGATCATGAGCGCTCTGCTTGTTGTAATTCTCTCCCGAGTAATTACGACCATTTACTAGACATATTCTCCCGAGTTACGCTAGCTGGCTTTAATTACAACTCACTTAGATCGCACCCAAGGTTTCGTTATCCCTAATCGCACCTTTAAACCCTTGGTTATTGATTCCTCACATACGTCGAGAGTGATGTTGTTCAATAACTACCTAAATATGTACTCTCTCCCGAATAATACATACTAAATAGGCACAGCTAATTGAGAATCCTATCAATTAACTACAACAAGAACGTAGTTGAACAAATAGAGATTATACTACGGCTCAATTATATAAACATAACAAGAATTTATCCTACAAAAGGTTCCATCAAAACCCTAGATAACAAATTAGCTATTCATAATAGTATGTAAAA